ACAGAATAAATCCAGGGAGGATTATAGTCTGTATTTTCCGAACTATGAGCCGCACCAGCCTATAAGCCACTACCTCAAAGATAAAAAAACAACAACAAAAAAAAACAGTAAAGATACACATATAAGCCGCAGATATATCTGCCGCTCCAGGTTTTCCACAGCGATGCAGCAGAGGGGGGCGGACACCCAAAGTTTGAGTCATAACAGGTCAATTGAATATCACATTTATTACGGTTGAAAAAGAAAAAGTTGCCAAGTTTAGATTTAACTGAAATGATTACGGTAGTTTATGAACGGTAACTGTAAAAGTGCTGGTTCGTGTCTGCTACTAACATGGGCTAAATGAAAATAGGCGCGTTCTTCTTCTTTAGATTTCAATGGCAGCTTGCATCCATTATTGTTGCACTACTGCCATCTATTGGATCCTAATATCCATGCCTCAAATTCTCATAATGATCCCAGTATTATTTAAAAAAAACTGAAAAATCTTCTTTTTCCCCTCAATGCGATTTAACTGATCAACAACATTCTCAAATTTCAATTCCCTATTAAAACCTAATTCTGTTTTAATAGGTGCTTTCTTCTTTTATTTCCAATTTTGACTTCCAATGATTCACTTCCTGCTCAAGAGCCCCCTGGTGGTTGAAGAGAAAAATCCACATATAAGCTGCTTGTAGTCCAGAAAATACGGTATATGAAAAAAAATCTGAACGCTCTCTGGTATTGTTCAGGGGGCCGGACCAAATGTGGAGGCGGGTCGAGTTTGGGGACCACTGGCTTAGACCTTCTTTTAGTGTTGTAGTTTGGCCGCCATCCAGCTGAGGGCGCCGCAAGATTCACTTTATGTGGTTGTGTTTTGAAATATAAACACTCGACAAGCTTCTTAAATTACCACCATGATGCCGCTTATTCAGGCGAACAGCGTCAACTTGGTTTAAAAAAAAAAAACATTGTTAATGTGTTACGGAGACAAAGAAATCATGACACAAAAGTGGAGAGTAGAACACAGAAAAATTGTAACATGACATAAAAAGACATGACGCCATGAAGCACGGTTGACCACAGACAAGTACTTCTGTGTGAACATCTGTTTGCACGTGGAGAATTAAGTGTTTCATCTTTTAATTTTTCATTCAGCAACCTCAGAGGTTCTTCTTTTGTTATATTTTACATCCAAGTTTAATAATCCTAGAAAACAATCACAATTTTCTGTTTCGTCAATATATAATACAGCTGACAAAATTATTTCAAGTTTTATTTTAATTCAGCATATAATGAAAAATGTAGCACTTTATATTATAGAGTGCTACAAGAGTTCTCTTGATACAAGAGAAAACAGTTTTTTTTTAAAGAAAATTAATGCTCATCAATTAATCATTAGGCAATCAGTGAGATCAATCAACTTTAGATTAACTCATTCATTAATCTATGAATTAATCTTTTCTGTCACTTTAAACTGCAGAATACATTAGTTTCTGGTTGTAATGGGAGAATACTATTGTAAGACATTTTATTCTTCAGTTAAGTGCTTCCATGTGCATTTACTAATAATTGGTAATTGTTATTGTTCAGTTCAGCACAGCAGCAGTGTAGCAGAGGAAGAGGAGTCCTCGCCTTCTTCCCCAAGTTCAGAAGAAAGCTCAGAGAGAGTAAATCAAGGGCCTCAACGACTGACCCGCAGCCAAGCAACTCCCATGAAGAAATCAGGTACGATGAGCATTTGGTTTGAGAGCTGTCGTTCTTTGCAGCTTCATGTCAAATAAACGTTGCGGTGCGGGATTGACCTGTCGCCCCGTGGCTGTTGCTTTAGGGTACCGCCGCAAGCTGCATCTGAGTAACGGCTCCAGACAGCAGCCGCAGCGCGGTCAGCAACCGCTGGAGTCTGACGACGATGACGAGGAGCAGGGCTCTGGCTCCAACAGCTCCTCCTCGGAGTCGTCCTCCACTTCCTCGTCCTCCTCATCCTCCTCTTCGTCCGACAGCGAGAGCAGCTCAGACTCCGAGGTGGAGAAGTACGCGGAGGGCGGGGGTGATCACGACTACAGCAAAGCCCCGTGTCTGTCGGTGCGCCTCTCGGCGAAGGGAAAGCTGGCGGCCTCAGGGAAACGGAAACTGATGGGAGGGCAGGATGTGGCGCAGAGGACTAAACGAGCTCGGGTGCAGCTTCCTGTGAAGGAGGAGGAGGAGGATGAAGAAGACGAGGAGGAGGAGGAAGAAAAAGAAGAAGAAGAGGAGGAGGAGGAGGAAGGGGAAGAGGAGAATCAGCCACACCAACAGGAGAATGTAAGACATGTTGAGGAAGAAGAAGAAGAAGAGGATGAAGAGGAGCCTGAGGAGGAGGAGGAAGAAGAGGAAGGTGAAGTCTCTGAGGTACAGAGAGTAGCATCATCATCATCATCAGCAGCAGCTAGGGGTTCTAGAGGCGGCCTGGGTAAACCCGGGCGTGTCAGCACACGGAACCAGGGCCGCAGGACGGTGGTCTACAGGGACGAGTCGGACGACGACGGCCAGGGGTCAAAGGACGACCCGCTCAACCTGGGCATGTCCCGCTCAGGACGGGTGCGGCGCATGACCGAGAAGGCCCGGGTCAGCCACCTCATGGGCTGGGGTCACTGACCCCCTCGCACCTCCTCAGACCTCAGTCAACACAAACTCTTCACAACGCCAGGAAAACATCAGGGATTTTTTTTTTCCTTTTTTTTTTTTTGTACAGGTGTGTGTGTGTATATAATATAAGAATATCTATGGTTCTGTTTATCTGGACTCGCTGGTGCTCATTTACTGTTGCCACGGATTTTTGCTCCCTGGATAACAGAGATAGTGTTCAACACAGACCCTCCCACAGCTGGACTAACTCACCTTCAGCCTTACTGCTGCTGCTCCTCCTCCTCGTCACGTTCGGAGCTAAAACACTAGGCGATCTCTTCGTCGCCCCTCACACCTCTTCACCTACTGTTCACCAAAGAACAACGTGAAGATGCCAAATACACGGTGCTCGTACTGTTTGACTTGTCGTGTTTGGCGGAGAGCGATCCGGCAGCAGTCGCTCGTTCAGGCGCCACCGACACGAGGCGCCAACGCGGTCCAGGGTTCCTACACAGCCTGGAAAAGTCTGGAGTGTTTTTGAAGTATTCTCCAGGTATTGGAATGGGATGAAAAAAGAAAACGGAAGGAAAGAATCTTTATTAAAAGGTGCTTTAAAGTTGTTTCCCTTTCCATTGTTTACTTCTCTACTTCATTTCTTGTCTTTCCTTCCTTAATTTTCCCACCTTCCTACCTTGTTCCCTTCCTTCCCTGTTTGTATCCTTACTACTTTTCCCCCTTGTATCCTTCCCATGTTTCTTCTTTGTGTCCTTCCTTCTTTCTTTCCATCAAGTCAATGATTTTAAAAGTTTTTTTTAGGTTTTTTTTAATCCTACCCTGTGTGAAAAGGTCAATACCCGAAATTCAAGTTGTTCTTTTTCTTTTCGTCTTTTAAAACAAGAATTGAGATTTGAATTTGGAAATTGTGGAGTTTTTAGACGGGAAATGTGTAGGAACCCTTATAATGTGTTTCGTCATCTGATCTCTATTTTTTTTTTTTTTTTTTTTACATGGTTTGCAGCTTTCAGGGGTCGAGCAATACCTGGGAAATAATCAGCAGGAAATTTCACCTTTGCATCCATGATCTGTGAATGTTGAATGTTATTTTTTTCCTTTGCTTTTTTTTTTTTTTTTTTTTTTGAGCACCACATTTTTATGGTTTGCTATTGCGTGAAATATGTTAAGTTTTTCTTTTAGGAAACTACTTTTTCTTTTTATTACCATTATTTCCTGATTTGTGTGAAAAAAACCACTTCATCCTTTATTGGTGTGCGCTGATGGATTTAACCTGCATCTATTCGTTGCTCCTTCTGCCAAAGCAGATGGGTCCTTCGCAACTCTTCCACGTAAATATTTATTCTTTTTTTTTTTTTTTTTTTTGCTATTTTACTACTCTTGTTTAATTTTGTTTGCTATGTTACTAGTGATAAGGAACAGATATTTGCACATTTACCTTCTCCTCGTGGCAGCTGAGTAATAAAGAGAGAAATTCGACATAAAACCTCATATTTGTGTTAAACTTTAAACTGTGCCAGCAATTTTTTATTTTTGATTTTCAGTGAAGTAAGTAATAAGACTTTACTATTATTGTTTTGCAACCGGAGGGTGATTGAATTTTTATTTTTTTCTGATCTAATTTGGATTTTTTATTATTATTATTATTATTTTTCAGAATTCCAATCGGTGTGGCTTAGATTTTGTTTGGGATCTAAAAATCACCTCGATTATTCCTCTTTATTTCTACTTTTGTTCGATTCTTTTTGCTTCAATGTTTACATGAAACTGTGCGCGGTCATGCTAGCAGCCTTTAAAAGCAGAGTCCAGTCAAGAGAGAGATCTGGAAAAAGATGACTCGCGCTCTCTTTTCAGCAACGGGTGCATAAATCCAAACACACTTCCTCGGCCCTCGACGACGTGCGGTTGTGAGCGAGAGCCGGGGCGCTTTGTTTTCGTCGGGTTCCTTTGAAATCAAACACACATTCACATCGACACGTCGGGTGTCTCCCGCAGCAGCAGCATTAACTTGTGTTTTTGAGATTTTTTTTTTTTTTCGGAGGACGGCGAGAAGATTCTGATTTTTGAGTCGCTTCTTTTTAACAGACGGAGCTTAGCGTTGCCTCCGAGCGTCAGATTAGATGACGGCGAAAACAACGTTCTGCTGTAGGTGGAAACAAAAAGGCTTACATGACAATGTTTTATATGAATGTTTTGACTGTATGTGGGTTTTTTTTTGTTGTTTTTTTTTTAATAAAACTGTTGAATTTCCTAAAGAAGATCTCGATCTTTGCTTGACATTCCAGGATTTTTCAAGCTGAAATGTGTGTGTGAACCCAGCTGAAGCTCGAAGGAGCACCGCTGAGGTTGACTCATCTGTTGCTTCTACAATTGAAAATCCACCGGAGTGCTGGAAGAAAAGTAACCAAAAAAAAAACACTGGGTCTGTCAATTTTTCTGACGCGAACGGATAAACTTGAATGTACTCTTTGTAGCAGCGTTAATGCTCTGAAAGCAGAGGGTGAGTCAGCCGAGGAATAAACAAGGTTACGCTGTGACGCACTTTGAGCCGCCACGCCTACCAGTAGCAGAGCTGGGAGATGATTGGAATTAGCGTGGATTCATACATGAAGAAAGGTCAGAGTGAGGATCTGTCTGGAGGAACACGTCACTAGAAAGGCTGACCTTTCGTTCCAAAAGGAGGAGTTTTTAATGTTACTTACAAATGCAGCAGATGTTGAACATTTGGCAAATTATTCTTTTTTTTTTTAATGAATTCAGTTGCAGAAAATGGTGATTTTTCAGACTTAACATTGTGACCAGCTCACACTGACTCATTCCTGGTATGATCGTCTTATTAAAATAGGGCTTTCAGTGATGAATTTGAACATTTCATTTTCCATAAATACATGTACAACAAACAACACTGCTTGGGTGAATAAGTTTTGATTTACTGTAGATTTTCTCTGATCGACACGAGGCTAAAATGATAAGGGTTCAATAACACTTTTCTCCTCTCAACTGCACACTTTTGATGGCTATGGCAGAGTTGATTTAAATTTGTCTAGTATTAATTTCACAGGCAGTTTCACTGTCTGGGATCGTTGTCCTGCTGCTGCTATGTTCAAGTTCATTTCACACAAACTGATAATCTCAGACTAAAAAGAAATTAACTGAAAATACTCAGGAACCACCAAGGTTCAGACGAGTCACGAACGGAAAGATGCTGGAACACTAAAGTCTGTTTTAAATCAATATGACAACCCAAAAAAATAGAAGAAGAAATAAAAAAGATGCTAGATAGAAAAGTGCAGCTGCTCGCATAACCAAAAAAAAAAAAAAGGTTTTCAGTGAGATCTCTGAGGTATTTTGGAGGAGTTCATGGGAGAATTTTAAACCCAAAAATCACTGCAGCAAGTGTGATAGGTGGTGGAAGCATGATGCTGAGGGCTCTGCTTCACCACAAACTGTAATCGGGTGCTGGTGGATGAAATATTGAAGATGGAAATTCACAGCTTAACAGATTGAGAGCGGTCACACATCTGGCCACAAATATATATCAAAGGTTATCGACTCGATAAAATCAAACTTGTGCATCCAATAATTTTTTTTTTTAAATCTCTGTTTTTTTCAGTACTTCTCCATTAAAAAAAAAGATTCAAATTCATCAGTAGAATATCAAATCCAGTGATTGGAACTGTCACCTTCTACAATAAAAACCCAATAAATAAACATTATTTATTAATTTGCCTTCTCTAGGAGCGCCCCAGTTCATCTGTCTGTAACATTTCCTGCATTTCATCTGAACATGCTGCAAAGTGCCTGAGATTCCCTCAAAGCAGGGCTGTTGCAAATTAAGCTGATTACCCAAACAACCAACCTCCAAGCTTGAGGAAATAAAACAGCAGGCCAAACACGCTCCACCGAGAGAGAAGACACCAGACACGGAGCGGTTGTGTTACATTTATTAACGCAATGACAACAATTTGAGCGTCAAGATTTCATAACAGGAACATCTGAGTGTCTTTACAGCAAGAAGTGTTTCTCAACGACACGTAACGAACCCCAAAGATAAATACGACCATATCGAAGCTACGAGGAGGAACAACTTACACACGTTATCATTATCGATAGTGAGCTGGAGGATCACAAGCATGTCAAACACAGTCAATACTCAACAATACCTAAGTGCATTTACATTGTGCTTCAGTGTCAGTGTGGGTACCTGCCTGCTCTAACCTGTGCTTCACTTTGTCTTTTTGTTGTTGTTGTTGTTGTTGTTCACAAACACTAAACACACAATGAGACGTAGTGCAGGAACCGACGGCTGCACTTACATTTTTTTTTTTCCTTTTTTTTTTTTTTTTTGCACAGGACAGCAGGCAGAAAACCCCCAAACAGTGTACGTTCATGACTGCAGCAATGTCTCACACCCAGCAAAAATATCCGTCTGGGGATGACGAAGAAGAGGATTTCACTTCGCCAGAGAATTGGCATATTTCCTTCCAAATGTTCTCATGAAAACATGCATTCAAGACTTTCATATCGCAGCAAATCTCTGCGATGCTTCCCTAAAGAGGAACGAGACGAAGCACATTGTCAAAGAAAATGTGACAAAAAAAAAAAAAAAACGACCGATAAAACCTGGCAAGTATCACAATGTCTCACTGGTTAGAAAGGACAAGAGGAACAATTGCTGAATTGGACGTTATCGACTTGTTTCATATGAAAAAAAAATATATATATAAGGCATTAAAAATATGTTCTATCTAAATTTTACCACACTGCATCTGATACTTATGAGTGGAATACATCAAATCACACTTTTCTTTTTCTTTTTAGATGTTGGAGCTATAAACGTGCGTTTTCTCTGTCAAAGTTTGAATCTTCATGGTTAAATCTCACAAAAGGTAAAAGTATTTCCGTTTTATACATCACTTTGCAGTCACTCCTGCTCCTCTTGAATAAGATGTAATTACCTAATTCTGATGGAGGTTAACATATTGTCGTCAACCACAATCAACTCATGTCAAACCCAGATGAGACGAAGATGAGCTGACAAGTTTGGGCAACGCACTTTTTTGAATAAAGTCTCATCTCTCATAAATTGTGTGAAATATTTTGGAAGAAACTGATTTACATTTTTTAAAAGAAAATCACTGGTGAAATTTCTGAAACAGGATGAATTAGCAGGAGTTTTCTACCTAGACCACATATTTCACACTGGTTATCTGTACATACGAAAAGATAAATAAAAAGAATAAAACATTTTTTTTTATTGCAGCAGCATTGATTACATTGACTGATTTGAAATGAGCATCGAGCCATATAATGTCTGTATTTTTTAAAATAAGGGTCTGTCTTTCAGTTGAACAGCATTTTCTCCTGTTTTTTATTGGGACTCTGTCGCATTTTATTTGTAGCCCATTTAAACAACATGTCATGGATTATTCATTAAAAGTAGAGAATAAATTGTGAAAATGCTTCAGAGACATTTATATTTTGGGATTGTTAGTAGTACAGCCGAATGGTGAGTTTGGGCAAGTAATTATTCCTTGTCAAAAAAATTTTTTTTTGTCTTACACTGAATAAATAAACGTTTCAAATATATTTTATTTTTCTAATAAATAATTAGTTTAAAGCTTTTGATGCGTTTTTAATCAAGGGTCCCAATGAAAGTGGAATACGAGGGCTCTTTTCAATCATAATCAGAGACACGTTGAAGAAGTCATCAGATGAAATCTGACGTTTGCACACTTTGATTAGATAATTATTAGTTCATAACTTCAGTTATTTTTTTTGTTCTTTATGCAGAAACTGTAATGAGAGTCCAAGACATTCATTCAGTTACGATGCCGAGAAGCCTTTTGCAGGTTTAATCAATCAGCCGTTGAGTTTTACCAGGAAAAGTAACGCTCCAGAAGGAGTGTTTTTTTTTTGTCAAACATGGCCATCTGGAGATACCAAGTCCTGAATAATAACTTTGTGCTTTGAATGTCAGCAATGGTGACTCTTAAATTACCTACAAGCTCCCACAACGGGACTCTATTAAAAAAAAAAAAAAAAAAAAAAAAAAAAATTTTCAAAAAACTGGGGGGGACCCCCCCCTTTTTTTTTTGTTTTCACCGGCGGGGGAGTG